TAATTGCCAGTAAAAATATATTTTTTAATTCGCATTATACACATTATTTAGGCGCAAATTAAAGATAATTGACCCACATATAAACAATCGATTTTTCGTTATTATCTTAAATTGTCTTTAATGACTCAGGCGTTATTAAGTAATATCAAAATATTTTTGAGAAATCTGTATCGTCCAAATTTACAACTGACAATTAACAAAGTATGCAAATATACAAAACTAAGAGTTTATCTAAAAAAAGCGTGACCAGGGGTCCTGCTTTTAATTGCAGTAAAATTTATCGATAAACCTTTGGGATTTTGTCGATAATGACTAAGCATATCATTGGCAGACATAGCAACACAGCAAATTATAAACATCTTATCAACTCATTTGTGGAGCGCCGTAAAGTAAAATTCAAAACGTACATGATCATATCTCTATCTGTAAACATTATCGATAAGCTAAAAATACAAAAGGGTCGAAGATTTTCGAAACATCAACAATTTGCATTATCCGCTCAGTAATTGCCAGCAAGAGAAGAATTATTTCGATAATTAATTACATTAAATAGTGTCAAAAATTAAAACAATTATAATTTTCTTATATTGGTATCGAAGTCTTACATCGGGTAATTTATTCCTTTAAGTGGTCATTCTTTCAAACCGTGCAGTAACTGTTAATCCTTTATATTCTTTAAACTTTTCTCTGCAAAACTGTCTACTTTCTAAACTTAGAAGTATTCTGATCGCATGCATTTGTACTATAAATACTGTTTCAAGTCTCCACAACTTGAAACTTTGAACAGCATAGTGCATCTCACTTATATTACCCGCAATAGAAGCAAATTAGGAATTCTAAGTCAACGTATTATCCAAAAACATCACCAAGAATATGTTTTTATTTTTTGGGCCATTGTTATTGACTTGTACTTGTCCGTCTTGATTAATGTTGCATTTGTTTTGTTGTTAAATAATAATATAGAAACTTTTATTTGAATTAAGATTCTATCTTAAATTGCATGAAGACTTTACAAAAAAACTGCATTGTCGACGTTTCGGTTTAAGAATATTGAAAGGAAATTGGTTAAACAGAAACTTGAAACAAAGCATTTTTAACTCTATTTGTTTTGGCGGAAACGTTGAATTGCTATCTACTATTGCAAGCATATAGTTACAGGAATTATGGAGATATTGCCTATAAAGATAACATTTTTCAAACATAAAGAAATATTGTGAATTGACATTCATCATAAGCATACGCGAGTCATTTCAAACTCGCGTTCAACCAATAACACCTTGCAGCGTTCGACAACCAACATGGCCGCTGACAGTTCGTTAATTCCACAGTTTGCAGGTTGAATTTCTTCGGCAGTATTTTGTCCAACTTTACAAATAAAAATGACGCAAAGTACAGGCGTGTGTGTTTGTGTAACTTTTAACAGCGAAAATAGTACCAAATGGCTATATGGGGCCAAGTTTTGGTTATATATTCCTCCGAATATATGTAAGCTAAGTTAGAAAAGATTTGCATTAGAGAACGTTTCGATTTAAGAAATTATTTGTAAAACCTGACGCAAGAATTACTTTGTATACATAAAAAATACAGTTTAAACTTTGCATATTTTCCTTCAGTATGTTATAAGTTACGTTGAAATAAACTTTTCACCTAATTTATTTGCTTTGTTTGGGTTAATTAAGATTATTTATTGTTACTAATATGATTATAATAATTGATTTAACTAACGAACTAAGTCTGGGCATATTAATTTAGTAAACCGTAAAGGTAACCAGCTTCATTTGCAGATTTATTTTTTGCAGAAGTTGGAAGTGTGTTAATTTCAGGCTTGTTTAATAAAATAATGAATTATATATGATTTTGTTAGGCCAAGGGTTACACAGTGTGCATGCGATTTAGAAGACTTGTTATTTTTATGTGGGTATTCGCAAATTGGGACGAGATATTTTAAGGGTTATAAATCTCAGGTGCTTATACAATATGTGCAACAATTTATATATATATATATATATATATATATATATATATATATATATATAATCAGAAAAATCTCACTTGGCATCTTCAATGCTCGCGCTCCGTGTATTCGAAGTGTTTTCGGAGCGCGAGCATTGAAGATGCCAAGTGAGATTTTGGCGAAACGTCTGCAGGATTCCAGTCGGAGTTCAACAAGCGAACGGAGATATCCCGGAATATAGTGTCATCATATATATATATATATATATATATATATATATATATATATATATATATATATATATATATATATATATATATATATATATATATATATATATATATATATATATATATATATATATATATATATATATATATATATATAATAAATCAAGGAAATAGAAACTTTCCAAACCACAGCTCGTATTCTGATGAGAAATATAGACATTTTCTAAACCTAGCGGTATTCAGACGTTCTAATTCAATCGCTTTAATTCGTTCGCTTAAGTCCTGAAAGGGAAAGTCATTTTAAAAATAGTTTGCGTGACCTTCAAAATTTGGTTTTGTTTGCGTCATGGGGAAAAATAAAAACTGTAAGTTGGTAGAAGAGAAAATTCAAAAATTCACATGATATTACAACCTTTGAATTAAAAAATTAGGTAAGTTCTCATCAACAAATGTGAATTTCCTTCTTTCGTCTCTGGATGTCTTGGGTAATTCTAGCACAGATAGCTAAATTCGAGTAGACTCGACATTGACCTTGATTATGAAGGAAAGTCTTAATTGTTGTTGTTTTTATTTGGGAAAATTTTTGTTTTTTGTGCTAAACGCTTTTTGAAGATTGTTTTGACAATTCAGTATTGTATTTCATTTTTAATTTGTCATAAAATTTTACGTCTTTTTTATATCAACGTAATGTGAATTAGGCTAATAAATAATCAAGTCGGTAGGTGATGCTAGAAAATAAAATTATAAATAAGGAAGTGACATGAAAGTCCACTAGTAGCTCAAAAATTATTCAAAATCAGGTTTTCTGGTTTAGGCTTGTTTGTAAAATCAAATGCAATCTACTCGATTTTAGCTATCTTGTTTGAAAACGCTAAAAAGCCAGAAGAAGAATTGAATTTGGCCCCTTCACAAATCTGACCTCGGATTATATCGCAAAATTTGTATTTATCACAGTCCTCTGGTAAGCTGTGAAATAATTTTCGATAATTTTTTAATTTGAGTGGAATTAGAGTGAACGACCTTTCTAAAGTATATATTCGTTTATTATTATAATTTAAAAATTTTGCTACATATTGCCAGCTTCTCATACCCACTCGATTTTTTATGAGTTATCAACTACCGCCCGAAAAATAAAATTAAAAAAAATGGACTCGGTTTTGACAGCAATCGCAGAGTACGTACCTCAAGTACTAACCCTCAGTTTACTCCCATGTCAATAAACTGGGTCAAAACTGAATAACTGGATCACTCAGTTCAGTAGGTATAGGCGTTTTTATTTTAATACGGATTTCCGTATTAATCAATTTACTCAGTTACGAACCACTTTTTTATTCAAAAAGTTACTGTCAATATCTTTCAAATACTAGTCAAAATTGGCGTCTTTAAGCATTATAGTAGAGAAAATCTTTATAAACCATTAAATATCGGTGTAAAACCCCCTTTCTGAGTGAAATAGCTGTCGAAATCGATAAGATCCTTGCCAGAATCTGCTTTTCCGCCTCTTAATGCACACAAATCTACCTTGGGACAAATCAATAGTTTTCGCTATTGATTTCGAGCACCTTATAGTCAAAACCAGCATTTTCATAACTTATCGGATTGAAATCCACTTTAAAACTGCAGATAACATCATGAATTGGTAAAAGGTTTTTCTTCCATTTTTCAAACAGATTCCAGTCAACCGAATGAAAACTGCAGATGTCAGGTCAAACTATCATTTTTTGATCCAAACATTTACAAGGTAACAAACTTCATTCAACTTCGCCTTATCCTTTTAGGTGCGTCGATTATATAGTTTTTAAGATAGTTGATTAATCATATCAGTTAAGTTTTCAACTGTTATCAAAGAAATCTTGCAAATCTCTGTCTTCATTTCTTCGATCATATGGCTTCCCTGTTTTGAAACTGTTCTACTCTTCCTGCATTAACACTTGACATAGATACGTCTTTAATGATAATAATAATAATAACAACAAAAACAGTGATAATAGTTTAGTTATAAATATTAATAGCAAAGTCAGTCGAGATATATAAATAGTAAATAACCAGGGAAACCTCACCAAATATTAGGTAATGAATATTTGTTTTTGAGCTAAAAACAATATACATAAATCAAATATCAAAACAAACAATTTTTTTTTAGTGTGTGGTGTTTAATAATAATAATAGTATTTAAGTCTACTTGTTGGCCGATTTAAAATCTGGGCTGTCTAGTCTTTTCTCTCCTTGTTACTCACTGTCTTGGCCTTTGACATCTTGTCGAATAAAAATAATTCACAATTGACAAAAAAAAGTGTCGAACTTTTAAGATCTCTGCTGTTTGATAGAGTTGTTCCGTACCATAAATCGTAGGTTTATTATATATCACTTTAAGAAACCATTTTTGGGTAATTTCAGTTTTTTTGCAAATTAGGAATACTTTTAATACGTCGTCACGTGACTCTAAAACAAAATTGGTAACACAAACAACAAATATGCTTGTTTAACTTGCCAGAAAAAATCATGGGGCAGAGAACAATCCTTACGATTTTTCTATAACAACTTATGATTAACGCTGCAAAATTATACAGTTTTATAGTGACATTTTTGTCTGAAAAAATACGTCCTTAAAATATTTTGTTTTTTTCAATTCTTAGTAGGCCAGTATAATCGGCGGCATTTAGAAAATTCCCCGCGAAAAAATATAAAAATCGATATTTTTGCGTCGCCCGTTTATACTAATTAAAAATAATAAATAGTTCAGGGGAGTACCGGCGATGATGCGCTTTTTCTACCGCAAAAGGAATGACAAAGCTCAGTGGTTACGGCGTCCCCACTGAGACAGGTACCGCCGGTCGGGTAATTAAACCTGTTAAAATAGCGGCGGTGGGAGAAAAATAATACACTCATCGATCATCACTACAAGCCGGTCGCTTGTTTGTTTTGGTTTTCCGGAAAACGTCGGGTACTGTACTCCGGTACCTATACCGGTCACGTGCCGCTACTGTACAAAACGACGCTGAATTTTGAAACGGCCGTCAGTCGAGCGCTGAAACTTCGGAAGCAAACGAAAACAAAAACATTCGAAAAAGTTTTACCAATCGGTCGGTCCAATTTTTTTTTGTTTTGCTTGTGGTTCGTTTCGGCAAACAACATGGTTTTTGACAAGGAGCACAGACAAATAATTGCGGGGTGAGTTGTTAATTTTATTTAAAAAAATGGTCAATTACAATGTTTTCCACATTGTTTCGTAAACATGTTATTTTTATTATGAATTCCTTTCTCTAGACTTGAGTTTTAAACTACATGCGGGTGTTGGATAAAGCTTAGTTAAGGAATAACTTTTTTTGGCCGCAAGAACTTTACCGTTTAGCAGTAAAAAAAATAATAAATATCAGTTCTGCTAACCATTGGGCTTTTGGCTCCAATTTGATCCCTTATTTTATACGGATTTTCAGCACAAGCTTTCAGTGCTGATTTAGGAAATTAACCAAAGTCAGCAGTACTTTTTTTTTAACAGCCTTCAGTATTATTGTTAACAGCATATCAGTAATTGGTCTGAAATGAAATAAAATTGACGCTGAGGAAATTGCACATAACATCAAAAATAAATTAAAACATTACAGAAATTGCAATGCACAGAAAATATACTTTACAATCAAGTACTAGTGCCTTCAAGTAGTGATAGTCAAAGTTTTTTATGTTCATTATGTTCTAGTAACCATATTATTATAATTATTATTAAAGCTATTTGGCATAATGCCAGTGTTGGAATGTTTTTAAGTGTGTTTAAAGTTTCAATTTTTTCTACGGAAATGTATCATTTCTATTTGTCGCGCTTTAGAATAGTCGAAATCAGTAGCATTAGAACTGATGTTTGCTCTGCATTCTTGGTTAGTCTTGGCTAATTTCAGTTTTAATGTAACTGATTTAAGTTATTCTAAAGTTTGGAAAATGAAAACGATGCATTTCCGCAGGATTTTTGTAATATGAACTTCTAAAAGGCAAAAATATGTTTTTGTTGTTACCTAAACGAAATTCTTCGTTGATTCGTTCAACTTTCTTTTAGCCCAAATCATTGTATTGTATTGTATTTTCGCCTTTATGGAAATACAATTTTTTTTTTAAATGTATCACTTCCAATTTCCGCGCCTCAGAATAGTGGAAATCATGTATATTAAAAGTGATATTTGCTCTGAATTCTTGGTTAATCTTTATTAAGTATTGGCTAATTTCAATTTTAACGTAACGGATTGCGTATACTCTAAATATCGCAAAATGTAAAAGAAGCCTTGAAGAACATGGCAATACAAACTCTTTTTGCTGAAACGTATGATTTCCATTTCCTTATACACTAAAGTGCGCAAAATGGAAAAGTAGCATTTATGAACACAGGAATACAAACATTTTCCGCGGAAATATATCATTTCTATTTTCTTTTTTTCCGTCCGGAAAATGAAAATGATGCGTTCCGCAGGATTTTTCTTTATGTTTGTACAAGCTTGTAAAAGGCCAAAATATTTATTGTTTCTATAACTGATTTAACCGAAACAAAATTCTTCGTTCGTTATTTTAACTATCGTTTAGCCAAAACGATTTACATAAATAAGGATTGTATTTTTGTTTTTTAAATGCTCTAATGGACAGAAAAATACAAACAATTTTTACAGAAATGTATCATTTACATTTTCCAAGCTTTAAAATAGATTTTTCGACTATTCTAAAGCGCGGAAAGAGGAAATGATACTTTTCCGCAAAAGAATGTTTGCATTTCTTTGTTCATAAAGGCTTATTTTTTATGTTGCGTATTCTAAGATATTTGAAATCAGTTACATTTAAACTGATACTTGCTCTAAATTTTTGGTTAGTTTTGGCTAGGTTCAGTTCCAGTATATATATAGTATATTTCGGAAAAATATCATTTCCATTTTCCGCGCGTCATAGTAGTCGAAAAACATTAAAACTACATTACATTAACTTGCTCTGAATTCTTGGTTAGTTTTGGTCATTTTCAGTTTTAATGTAACGAATTTCGTACATTCTAAAGTTCGCAAAATGAAAAAGAGCAATAGAATTTTTTTAAAATCTAATTTGGGCTAAACCAAATTTTTCCCTCATTTTTTAAAACATAAATAGTCTATTCTAAATGACAACCAACACTTATCGTCCTAGGAAGCTATCTCATGACTTTTATTTCTTTTTCAAAGTTAACCCAGGCACAATATCTATTCAGTAAAAATAAGTTGGGGGGTTCAAATTGTAGATTAAAATACACAATACACAATACACATTTTCTTTAAAATAATTCAAAATATCATAGCCATTTCGTTGGATTATAATGTTCTTTTCTAGAAAGCGACGCCAGGTACCAATTAAACCACGACCGATCAAATCTTTCCTCTTGAGTTTACTTGTTGACAGCAGCGAGAAGTGGGAAAACCTACGTCAAACTTTTTGCAATCGGCACTACTGCCGATTTTGTAATATGAAATCACCTTTAATTTTGGCGGAGTATCACGGTGTCGTTATAAATTATTCGACAATATTTACCCTTAGGCTGACTGAACATTTTTCTATTCTATTTCTTCCTGGAGGAGTGAAAATATCAATGAAATATAATTTTCTTATAAAAAATAAGTAACTAAATACTAAAACTTTGCTTGTGCTTGAAATAGTTTTTGGTGCGTTGCAATATTTTAGAATAGACAAGCGTATTCTCAGCAATAATTAATTTTCACAAAAAGTAACATTTTAGAGTTCGATCCAAAAGAAACATAGTTTTAGAAAATTTGTGGGTCGCATAAAATATTTACAAACTGCTGAACGTTACGTTTTCTATATGGTAAAATTGCAGTAGTTTTATTACACCAGGCTCATATTTTACATAACGGTATCAGTTTCGGCGATAAGCGCGGAATTATAAATAATGGAGGTTTCAGGTGGAAAAACGTTAGTACCAACATTAATTAGCATTGGAAATAATTCTTCATTTCAAAACGTAGATGTCATACTTGGCGATATCGAATTCCATAAGTACTTTAAAATACCGAAAAAATATTATAGTCTTTTGCAGGACCAAACGGAGATACGTTCATTGATTAAACTTTTAATCAGCAAATTATATGCAATATTATTAGCGAACCGAATGGGCAGAGACATATTTTTTAATTTTTCAAATAGATGGTCAACCAGATATGCTTTTAGAAGCCAAAAAAGTCAATTAAATATCCCCAAAATGTATAAACACTAAATTTGGAACTTTTTAAATTATGATCTGAATGAAATCTGAAAAAACTGCAGCGGTAGTGAATATACAGAATTCTATGTACGTGGTTTTATACTTTGAACTCTATCTATTATTTATTATCTCTTGGCAGGCCACATTAAATGTTTTCACTGTTGTGATAAACCAAGCAATAATTTTTAGACTTATGATTAGTATATTTTTGAAATCCTAAAAAAACACTAGGCAAAAAACAGGATAGTCGTTTGTTTTTGACAAATTCAGAAAATAATGGAGCAGTCGCAATATATAATTTCGTGAAAATATGAACTTTTAGTTGTTATTTATTTTGTTAAATATATTTTCATCATGTAAAAGCCATCTCACTTCAATTTAAGAAATAGGCTATAATAATAAAAAAAGGACTAAATAATATAATATAAATAATAATAAAATGCCTTATAAAAATGCCGACATCCGATGATCCCGATACTGTTCACGCCTTGATTTAGGAAGAAACTTTTATAGTTGTAATGACAAGTTTACAAAGCCAAATACTGCAAGCAACTCAATCAAAAATGTAGGCAATTCCGAAAAACGAGAAATTTCATTCTAGGTTGAATAATTATGTATTTAAGAGACTTATGTTATACCATTCCAACAAATGGACTTTCATTTTTTTCCTAAATACTAGTTCTGACCACATTTCTAAAACTGGAGTCAAAATTTTTATTACAATTTTTATAAAAGGGCCCTCAAATTTACAAGAATTATACTTCGTCTTGTAAATTTCATACCGAAACACTGAAATATTTCATGACCTTAAATAAAAGAAGTGCTAGTAATAATTAAAACAGGTATTTAATTTTTACCCATTTCAACTGAAATCTTTATTTATCAGCAACGGTAAAAGAGTGGATAGGACAATGTAAGACCGTATATAACTTCAGAAAGGATGTATGCCTCGGGGAGTTTTTTTCGTACTTTAAAATTCAAGATATGTTCATATGCATATGCGGTTTGCATATAAGCTTTTTGCTTCATTTGTAAATTTAACGTCTTCATTTTCTAATTGAATCTTAGTATCATTTCGCAAAAAATTGTAGCTTCCAGGTTAGCAAATCGCATAGCTTGTGCTTTTTTTAGAATTCAGCGCAAGCCTGTGGTTTGTATTTATCGATTTCAGATGTGCAGAGATGTATTTGTCGTTTGTAGATACATATTCTTCAAAAAAAAATCAATTTTATGATATTGTATTTAATAATAATGTGAAGTACTAATACGCTTGCTGCCCCCGCATATTGCTATATAGATAATCACTTTCTTCAGGAAATCAATTCCCGCTGAATTCACACAAAAACATCTGACTTAGAGATGCGGAAGAAATATCCAATCTGGCAAAAACTTCGATTTTATAATAATTGTTGTGTACGATATAGTTAATTGGTTGCGAGTTGTGCTTATTTCATTTATATTATACTATCATTTCAATAGGTTTTTTATATTGCGTTATCCCTTCGGTAGCGTAATTCCAATCGGTTTTGTTTAAGTTTTTTTGCGCCACAATTAGCGGTTAAAAGGAATCTGAATTCTTAATAGATTAATATTAATCAAAAGTTGTGACACGCCGGATTAACGCTTAATATGTTTGAGTAGAAATAAAACATAAAAATTAATGATAACTTTTTTAATATGTTTCTTAAACGATTGGCCGTCGGCGCTTTTAAAGGGTATCCGACACCTGTCCTTAAAAGATTGATAGTAATTCTTATCGTTGCGATCGAATAATTTCCATTTTAACGTCGTCATACCTTCGGCACTAAAAATTGGTGACGTTAATGGTACAAGAATTTCGCTAAATAATAGGGACTTAACTTTCTTAAATTGAAATCCCCTGTACCAAATACTGATACAATAGCCCCGTAAGTGGCTCTTCTCATATCTCCAAATCTAACTCGATCGCTTTTGT